TAAGGTCTTAGATTACAAGTTAGACAAAGACCTCCTGCTCTTTATTATTAACATTAACATCGGCCTATAGGCTACAGGTATATATCCCTTATCGCGCCTCCTTTTACCTTAATTCTATCCTTGATTCTATCCTTGATTCTATCCTTACTAACGCGTTCCTACTTGTAGACAAGATTGTAGTTAGCGGCATTAAATTTAGCGTTACTCTTAAGTTAGAGCCGGTTTCTATATATAAGAAAGGAAGAGAAAAAACAACGTATAGCCTACTCTTACTACTTAATAATATAAGTAATCTAATTGTTCTAGTCTAGAATCTAGATAAACCGAGTCTAAGACAAACCTAAAGGAGTTTGCGCGTTTAATTACGTAAAGGTAAGACCTGTCTCTAAGTTTGTATTAAAGTAATCTAACAGGCTTTAGTATACTAGGTGTTTTCTATTACCTTTAACTTACTTTACATAAATATTATCTAACAAACACTATTACACATTAGGGTAACGAGAATCGTTTACTTAGCTTAGCCTATAGGTATATATTACCTGTCTACCCCTTTAGATTCTATCCTTACTAATCCTATAGACAGGCTCTCTAATCTATTACATTTATGTGCCGGGTGTCTATAAAGGCTTAACCTTTTTCTCTACTCTTACTACTTAATAATATAAGCCTTTGTAGGTACCCTTACCTAAGAGTCGATATTACTAATAGAGCGAAATCTGCCCGTAATATCGACTCTTAGAGCTGTATACACGAAGCCTGTAGGTATATATGCCCTGTCCTGCCTACCTCTCTAGATTCTATCCTTACTAATATCTTACAACCTAGTTTTTAATGTCTAAGAGCGTATTAAATAACTCTACTGTATTACTATCTCTAACTACTACTATTATAAGACAGTAACTATAGATAATATATGCTTATCCTTATAAACGCTTATAAAGATAATAGAACTAACATCTTACAGGTTATCTTTATATTAAAGAGAATTAGTTACGTTCCTACCTTCTATTACGGTTAGGCGAGACTGTACGTAAGATTAAAGCAATACCCGGGTACCTATAAAGGCTTAACTTCTCTACTCTTACTACTTAATAATATAAGCCTTTATAGGCTACCTACTTTATAACGTGTATAAAGCGGGTTATAAAAAACATGGCAGATCCTTATCTTAATCTTAATACTAGAGATAGTAAGTAAATCTATACTTCTCTAGTACCTACTAATAATATAACAGGCGAGATTAAATACTGTATCAAGTCCTTTCCTCTTGTTTAATAATAGTTAAACATTAACTAACTTAGCGTCTAGAGAGGACTTAGCATTAGTTCGAGTCCCTTATAACAAATTCTAACACTTTAAGTTACTATACTTTAACACAAAGACTAAACATAAAGAACATTCTCTTAACATAAGTATATTCTCTAGTTATCTCTCTCTCTCTCTCTCTTTTCTTTAAACATCCTACTAACCCTTGATCTAGAAATAACTATGCTACGGCTAGTAAAAGCTCTCTTAGACAATATAAACAGACAGATTTATTTAGAAAATCTAAGAGAAAAATCTTAGAGCTCTTAAGGTAGTATTAAGTAGAGTAGCGTCAAATCCTTAAAGAATTCTATACGCTTAAGACCTACAAGTTGTTTACTGTTAACAATAAGGATTTTATAAGGTACAAGACTAAAGAGCTAAATCTCTTAAAAGAGAAGCGTAGGTAGAGACGAGTTTCTTACTACGTCTAAAGTCTATAGGACACTGTTTTACAGACAACGCCTACTAGAGTATTCTCGTTGACTATAACGACGACTAAAGTACGTTATAAATTAATATAGTTAATGTAATACTATAACAACAGCTAATATTTTGACAATAGCTCGAATTTAATTTAACAACAGCTCGAATTTAATTTAATAATAGCTCGAACTTAATGTAGATACAATAGACATAAGAGATAGTAAGTAAATCTATACTTCTCTAGTATAATGTATCTCCTAATCGTGCTAATAATATAACAGGTAAGCTTAAATACTGTAATCTTATAGTTAAAGACTATAGCGAGGCCGCCTAGCGTGCCTTCTTATAGGCCGAAAACTTAAAGCTTAGCCATGCTACTAAGAGGCTACGATCACCTTACTAACGAGCCGTTTTATAGTAAGTAGTTGTTGTATACTACGGCTAAAGAGTCTAGGACTTATAGTAACAGGCTTTTTATCGATAATAATATCTGACTACATAGTTAGTAAAGGCTAGGAGTCGCTATAAGAGCTACTACTAGCTTTTAAGATAATGCGCTAGGTACCTACAAAGGCTTAGACTCTTATGTATTTGTATTAGTAGCGTAACTAATATAAACACATTAGTCATTATAATTAATTATAGCTTGTAAGGTAGAGGTACCTAGGTAGAGTAATACTAAAGTACTAAGAGGTATATTACTAGGGTAGTTATATATATACAGGAGGCTAGATACTATAAGCCTATCCTAGACTCCTAGACATAGCTACTCTTATCCTAGCTACTATTAACCCTTATAATGTTGATATATATAATCCGAGAGCTAGGCAAGTAATTAAACGTTATATAGAGGTATATTAAGTATTACACTTAGCAAGTAATAGTATAAATCGTTATGACTATACTCGAAATGTTAGTAGTACTCTAGACTAGCAGTACTCTAGACTAGCATAAGGAGAGGGCCCGACTTACTATTATTACTTAGAGACTAGAAGAAAAAACAACATCCTAGTATAGTAGAGTAGTAGCGCTTAATGTGGCTAGAGTAGGGCAGAGTAGCGTTTAATATAACTAGAGAAGGGCAGAGTAGCGTAAGGTAGAACAGCCTTAATGTGGCCAGACTAGTAGAGTAGCATTTAATGTGGCTAGAGAAGAGTAGAGTAGTATAAGGCAGAACAGCCTTAATATAGCCAGACCGCATTAATTAATCATCTAGTGTTGTACTACTACCTAAAGTAATATCCTTAAAGAAATTAGGGTCGACTTCGCTATTAGAGTCCTTGTTTAGATCAAAAGCTATATAGATAGTACGCTTAGTAATTACAGGATCTCTACATAATAGGAAATCATCTACTAACAATTCTTTAAACTCGGTCTTCTAGTGTAGTCTATTAAAGAAGTTTAGTAGGTAAACTCTATTGTACTTACTTAAGCTGTTATCTGTCTTAAGTAATTCCGTTAGCTACTAATACATAATTAACTAAATACAGGTATCTATCTTAAGTAAGCCTTTACTAGTACGTTAGGTAGGTCTTAACTTACATTTTAGAAAAGCACGTCTAAGTAGTGTAATCTTATTAAAGTCTATAGCTAGTTTTACTATAGTAAATACAGTAGGTAACTAGTAGTACTAGAAGTCTTGTATAACAAATACTTAGAGTCTAGCAAACTCCTAATAGTACAAGACGTCGTTATCTATACTACTAAAGTAGTTCTTAGTAAATTTTTCTAGTTTTACTAAGGATTAGCTCTTCTAATTCTTATAGTCGCGTAATGTCTTCCTTATTACTAATTTAAATATTATACTTGTACTTAAGAGCGTTAGAAAGGTCGACTAAATAAGAGGGATGACTTTAGTGTTATTAAGGCTAGCTAGGAATTGCTAACGGTTCTTAAGTTTGAGTTCTGTCTACGTATCCTTCTTACCTTTAGTAAATTTAATTAAAGGCCTTTTAGCACTAACTATTCTTAAATCGGTTTTACGTAGTATAGTAGGTTGTAACATATTATTATTACTCTTGTTAGTAGTAGTCTTATTATTTTGTATGATCTCTTAAGTCTTTGATTAATTACTTGATTAGCTGTACGATTAGCTGTGCGACTAACTATACGATTAGCTGTGCGACTAACTGTACGACTAACTGTATAGCTAACTGTATAACTAACTGTTTAGCGCAGCTTTTTTAACTATAGATACTACTAGTAGAGGCGTAGACGACTGTCGCGTAGCGTTAACCTAATGTAATTTAAAGTAAGGGTTTAGATCCTTGCGCTTTTCGATAATTAGTAATAAAGGGCGCTATAAAAGCCTTTGTTAGTACTATTTTTACATTTACATAAAGGTAGTAAGAGATATAGGTACCTTTAAAGGGCCGTAAGTAGTAGGTGTGTTTTAATCTAGTATATCCTCTTCTTCTTCTGTCATCTTATCTAGAAAACTATAACCACTAGTTCGCTATAGCTTAGCTAGCTAATTAGTAGAGCTAGACAGTCGGCTCTAGCTACTAGTGTTAGTTACATTCTTCTGCCGTTTTAAGGGTAATATAGGCGGATCTACTAGTCGCTTTCTGCCCTTTCTTTACGTACCTTAAGATAGTATAGTTACTAAGCTTAAGCTACTAAACGATAAGAATACTAGATAAACAGTAGAACATAGTGTTTAAGGTCGTGTTAAAGAATACATAATTAATGACTAACTTAGGTAGAGCTATTAAGGCTATATATAATATAAGGTTATACTTACTAAACTATCTAAACGTCTTGTCTTATAGGCTAGGTAAGGTATAAGTAGCGTCTACTACCTTACTAGTAACTAATTAACATTAGGACTAGTATATTAGATAAAAGAAGTTTAGTGTAGCCTACTTACTATAGGTTCTAAGTCCTTTACTACCGGCTGTTTAAGCTAGCTACAGTCGTTTCTTAATAAATAGGTTAGGTTAGTTAGGTAAGAAGGTATCTTAATACTTAACTTAAAGTTAAGGTAAGGTAGGTAAGAGAGGGAAGGCAGTTAGTTAGTAGCGCTAGCCTTACCTAGGTATAAGAGCCTTATCTTACTTTATACCTCTTAGCCTTATCGGCCTTGTTTATATTACCTTTATTTATAGTTATGTTACTAGGTAAAGTGTGTGATTAATCTAGAAAGGGTTTACTAGCTTCTATTTATGTAGTACTAGTATCTACTAACTTAAGGTAATTTAAAGAGCTATCCGATCTAACTACGCGAAGCTAAATCTATAAAGCTACCTTACCTAAGGCATCTGATCTGACTACGCGAATCTGCGAGTCTGCGTCTGCGAGTCTGCGTCTGCGAGTCTGCGTCTGCGAGTCTGCGTCTGCGAGTCTGCGTCTGCGAGTCTGCGTCTGCGAGTCTGCGTCTGCGAGTCTGCGTCTACGAGTCTGCGAGTCTGTGAGTCTGCTAGTCTGCGTCTACGGATCTACGGACCCTATATTAGTTACCTCGCCTAGGGCATCTGATCTGAATCTGCGAGTCTACGAGTCTGCGTCTACGGATCTGCGGACCCTACATTAGTTACCTCGCCTAGGGCATCTGATCTAAATCTACGAGTCTACGAGTCTACATCTACAGATCTACGGACCCTACATTAGCTACTTAAGGCATCTAATCTAACTACGTAATCTGTATAAGCGATATAATTAGTCTAGAAAAGGGTTTACTAGCATCTATTTGTGTAGTACTAGTACCTACTAACTTGATTTAAACAGTCATTTATTACTATAGATACCTGCCCTTAACGATCTTTAGCTACTAGCCTGTATAATAGCGGTAGTAATAATACTAATAACCTATTTAGGCTAGTACTATTAAATACATACTATAATTAAAAGCGACTTATAAAGGCATTAGGTCTAGGCATAATTAAAAACCTTAAGGAATAGTTTCTGTCTCTAGAATTCGCCCTAGACTTTAAGGACCTTTATAATAATGTTATTAGACTATACTAGTAAGATTATCTACGTTAAGGCCCTTAATTATCTACTGTCTATATTACCCTTACTAGCTCTAAAACAACTAGAGATCGTAAATACTCTAGTAAGAATGTTAATACAACTAGGTTTACTAAAGTTAATTAGTATGTATTATACTTGTAGCGTCTACTTAATACTAATACTTGTAACTAAAACAGTATCTTTAAGGATATACAGATGTTATTTGTAGATATAGAACACTGTTTATAGTAAGTAATGCTCTAAGCTACCTAAGACTACTATAACTAGATAAAGCGCTATTCTAAGAGACTATCTAAATCAGACCTAGATACAGATACTTCCTTATTTTACGACAACTAAAGACTAAGTAGCGTGTCTAAGAAGCGTGCTACAAATACAGCTAGGTTAATATTAGAAAAGCCCTTATTAGGCATATTAAGTATATAAAAGACGGATCTTAGTACGCCTTCTACTTCTACAAGTCTATTATTACAAGACGTGTCCGAAGATACACTAGGCCTAGTAGTTAAAGCGTTAGTAGCATTAGTAGTATTAGATCCTAGCTCTCTACTACCTGCTATAGTATCTAAGTTAGATGTTATAGTTAACAAGATAACATAGCTACAAATAACGCGTAACAACAAAGACTTATTTAATCTAAACACAGCTTATAGTCGGTATACATTAATCTACGCTACTATTAAGCTCTTTATATATAAGCCACTACTTAAGAGAATAGTTAATAGTCCTTAAATTACTCTTAACTAGGATACTAGTAAATTAATTAATGTGTATAAAGTCTAGGGTCTTAAGGTAGACGCTATACTTAATAAAGACAAGTACACTTTAGAATTACTAGAGAGTACAAAGGAGTCTGCTTACTAGAACGTTCTAGTAGAGAACTTAACAGATAATCAAGCCTACTAGTCGCTTGATTATCTAGCTATAGTATTAGCGCTTACTCTTTACCTAGAACACCCTTACTTACCTTTAATAAAGCCTAGATTTAGCCTTCGGTTATAGTAAGTAACTAGTGTCTAGTAGATGATTTAAATATTTGAATCTAAGAAGTCTTATATAGTTATCCTTACTAATAAGACAGGGTTAGGAAAAACTATTACTATTTGTGCTTTCTAGCTATAGGTAAGTCAAGTCCTAAAGAAGCCTTTACCTGTTCTTACCTAAAGAAGCCTTTACTAGTTCTTACTTACTAACATGTTACTACATTAGTTTATCCTTTAACGTATCTAAGAAGTTAAGATATATAAGCGCTTATATACTATTTAAGTTAATACTATCGTAAAAACAAATGCTTAACACTAGTAGATAGTCGAGTTAGAGCTACGTAGCGAGCTAGTGCTATAACAGCTACTTAAGCAAGATATCCCTCCTAAGCCCGTTATACTAGTAATCGTAAAACCTAAGCTGTACATTATTATACCTAATCTAATCAAGTAATAGGCTAAGTATATTACTACCTTCTTACCTTATATACGTGTTATAATATACTATAGAGATCAACAATCTAAGAAGGTAAACAGATAGCTATAAGTTAATAGCTTACTTAGTAAAAAGTATATAGTATTCTCTAACAAAAATACTAATTAGATCGTAGTCTTAACATCTCTTCTAACAATTAATGCCTAACATAGTCCTTCTACTTAAGTACGATAACGAATTAGTAAAAAGGGCTTCTCTAGGGCAAAGGCTATTAATTAGTAATATAACTTAGATAATATATAGCCAGGCAATCTTTTAGGTCTATTTAACTTCTTAGTTATTAATAAGGCTTATTATATTAAGAACTCTAATACATCTAGCTATTATACTATTAGATAGTTAAGTACTATCTTTATTATCCTTACTATAGCTTTAGTTATTCTAAATCGTATTAATGACTTTAGAGGTTATATCTGCCTTATTAAAGTCGATTTAAATTAATAGGATCTAGTAAACCTATAGCGACTTAGTATTAGTAGAGATACTAATGTCTTTAAGCTACTAGATAACTATAATACTGTTCCTCTCTACATGACTACATATACTATTAAAAGATAGATTACTAGTTAAGATGTCCTAGAGACTAATGCTAGTATACGCTTACGCTAAATATATAATGTCTATATAATTAGGCGTATATATACTAGTCTAGATCCTTAGTTCCCTTCTTGTCGAATTAGTTAAGCCTTGCCTAGCCTAATATCTAGGCGACTAATCTACTTATTTATAGACTCTAAGAAGGTATACTATAATATAGTATCTACTATACCCTTAAGTAAGCTCTACCGGCCTTAACTAGATAGGACTATTATGTAGAATCGTAGGCATTCTAGGTAGTTAGTACTAAACTCGACGTAGCTAGGATTTGCCTATCTAAGACTACATTTGCTTATAGGTATAGTCTTAAAATAAAAAGGAAAGAATCACTTACTTTTTAAGTAGCTTAGTAAATTCTAATCTCTTACTATTAGACAAGATATTAGATAGGCTCTACTAGACATAAGTGATGTCAAGGCCTAGCTTACAATTATATGTTATAGTATACCTAAGATCCGCGGGTTATTACGTATTATATCTAAGTTAGTAATTCTTAAGTAGTAGAAAATCATTATATAGTGTACTTTACTAGCTAACTAATTACTAATCTACGCTGTCTTATAAGTACTGTCTATATTATATAAGACATATTCCTCTAATCTCTCTATAAAGGAGCGTAATACAGCTGTAAAAGGCTTTACTAAGTTACCTAACACGTCTATAGTATTTATAGGCTTATACTATATAGGTTTAACTAGCCTTAATCTCTAGTATTAATACTATTATCTTATAGAATTTAATACGCTACCTAGCTGTAGTCTCTAGCTCTAGGCACGTAGTAGGGCCTAACAGATTAACTAACTGTTCTATGTCAAAAATATTAAAATATTAAACACTATAAGCTTTAACAACTGTATTATCTCTTCTACTATAATAAAGGCTATACTAGGCACTATAGCTAAGACGACTATTAACCTGTCTAATGTTAATCTATTAATAAGGGAATTAGAAGACAGTAATAAAGTCACACTACGTGTTAGGGAATAGTTTGTTATCGACAGTCTGCTTATTTAAGCCCTTAACCTACGTACAGCTAGGCATATACCTCTTACACCTCTTAAGCTTGTTAAGGCGATCTTGAATATATCTAGAGGTACTATAATTAAAATGCCTGAATAGAGAGCCGAGGATCTTGACGATAAATACATCTCTAAGTAGGTGTTAGATCAAGCAAAGGATGGCAGGGATGGCGGGGATGGCGGGGATGGCGATAGCAGGGATGGCAGGGATAGCAAGGGCGGGGATGGCAGGGATATTAAGGCGTAGTATAGCTAAACAATTATCTGCTATAGTATTAGATTATTATAGTATCGGCAGTAAGGTATGCGACGGCGAGGTAAGGCGACAGCGAGGTGAGGCGACAGCGAGGTAAGGCGACAGCGAGGTAAGGCGACAGCGAGGTAAGGCGACAGCGAGGTGAGGTAATAGCGAGGTAAGGCGACAGTAAGGTAAGGCGACAGCGAGGTAAGGCGACAGCGAGGTAAGGCGACAGCGAGGTGAGGCGACAGCGAGGTAAGGCGACAGTAAGGTAAGGCGACAGTAAGGTTAAAACCTAACTAACCCTTATATAAATCTAAAACTATAGCCAAGTCTAGCTAAAACCTAGCTAAGCTTATAACTAAAACTAGTAACTAAAACTAGTTTGGTTTTAAGCCTAGCTTAAACTATTAAAACTATCTTAAGCTAGTTTTAAGCTAGTTTTAAGCTAGGCTTAAGATACTATAGAAGGCCTGTAAGGTAGCTATACTACTTAAGGTAAGTAAAAAAGACAAGACCTTACTCTACTTTTAGAGGCTTATTATACTACTTTCTTACGTCTTAAAAAGGCTAGAGTAGGTTATTGTCTATAATATTACTTAGACAGCTCTTACTAATAGTATTCTTAGCCTATAGTATAGTAGCGTACTACTAAAGAGGTTAGTAATAGACCTAGTAGTGTCCTTTACTTATAATATAAAGGTAGCTATAGTATTATTATTATTATTGTTCTTACTACCTATACCTAGTATATACAGAACCTCTATACTATATAAATCACGTAATAAAACCGTACTAAAGCTAGGTAAAAACCTACATACTACCTCTTGTAACTACTTTATTACGGCGCCGCTAGGGCGCTAAGACCTTATTACTACCTTACTAGAACTTAACCTTTTAGCCTAGTAATACTAAACATACTAATAAGATACTAGTAAGACACTAAAAGGACGCCGGCTGTTAACTAGGATTACTTCCTCTTTTTCTTAGCTAAGTAGCGCTCGGCTAGCCTAAACTATAAGAACTAGCTAGTAGATAGTAGCTAGTAGATTAGTACGCGCGCGCTCTTTTCTCTCTTTATTACTACTATAAAGTTATAGAACGTCTATAGCGCCCTTAAGTAAAGTACTTACTATAAGGCCTGTCGCTATTAGTTAAGCTACTAGTAGTTAAGGACTAGGTAAGCTACTGTCTCTAGGGCCTTACTATAAGGGTACTAAGGGGTTACTACCTCTAGTACTTTACGTTTAAAAAGAAAGGCCTAGAGCCTAACCTTACTAGTATAAATCTACGTTAAAAGTAAGCTCTTATACTTATAAAAGAGTAAGTACTTCTTAAGAGTATCTACTAAAAGAGCGGGTAGCGCGGCTAGGGTAGTACCTTAGTAGTACGCTAGTAAACTATTATATTAGGTCTATTATGTTCTCTAGTTCTCTTATAAGGTCTTTTCTAGTAAAGAGTCCTTATACTAGTCCTTTACTTATACGGCTTAGCCTACCTTATACTTAAGTAATATATAAGGTAACGTTATAGTAGTATTATAGTAGCGTCTCTAGCGTTACTAAAGGCAGGTCGCTACCTTATTATAGATAGACTATATAAGTTCGCCCTTACTTATACATTTAAGACGTTATTTAAAGTCTACTACTTACTTATTAAGATAGAGGTTAAGTAAAGGCATAGCTATTTTAGACTTAAGAAACTAAACAAGAGTCGCTTAGTACGCCCTTATAACAATATAAAAGTACTATAACTACTTTATAGTAAGGTCCTTTATAATCTCCTTAGCTTGTTACTTAGAGGGACAGTACTAGACCCTTATACTATATACTATAGTACTCTAGATTACCTTTATATAGATCTCTTGCACGCGTAGTAAGCTATATCCTTACGTAGATATAGTAAGCCTTATAAGCGTAAACTACTAAGTAACGAACTTTTGTTTAATAGCGTTAAGGTAGCCCTTTTACCTAAGCTTTTAGTCTATCTAAACTCCTAGAAAGTAGGCCTCTTAGACTAAGAGTATAACCTAGCTATTAAGGTAGACAAGCGTTATTAGTATAGTATAGGCGTAGGTAAGGTAAAGAAGCTTACTCTTTTTAAAGGTAAACTCTATTTCTCTTGTTTATACTTACTAGCTATAAGTCTACTACGCTCTTTTAAGGTACTAGCGTGTCTCTATTATGTCTTTACTAAATACTAAAAGGTTAAGGTTATTAATAAACCTTACTATAATAAGGCTTATATATCTTTATAGTAGCGTATATAAGCTAGTAGTATAGAGGAGAAAGAGGATAAGAGAGAAGAGTAAGCCTTATAGTACCCTTGTAGTAACCTTTTAGAGTAGCGCCGCCTCCTTGTTAAAGAAGAGGCTAGCTGTCTAATTAGTAAGGAAGCTATATACTTACTATATAGCCTATATAAAGAACCTTAGGTATTAGAGAGTATAAAGAAGACGTGTATAGTTTACTATATTAAAGGCGCCTTTAATGTCTAGTTAGAAGAGGAACGCTATAGCCTTATAGCTCTACGCTATATATATAGTGTCGACTACTATTTTAACTATAAGGTCTATTAAGTATTATAGCCGGTTTCTTATCTACGTTTTTAAAAAGAGCCCTTATAACTTTATAGCGTTAGTAAAGTACCGGCTAATTACTAACTTAATTACTTTGCCTATTACGCTTAAGAGTAATATTAGCCTATAGGCCTTAGTAGTTTATTACTGTTTAAGGGTCTTTCTAGGCTTATATAGTACTACTACCTTTACTACTTTAAACTACGCTAGGACGTACCTTAGCTAGAGGCTTATAGTTACTACTACTATAAAGAGCTTAGCTAAGAGGCGCCTATATGTCTTAAGAAAGCTAGTAAGTAGTAGGTTAGGTCTTAACGCCTTTTAGGTACTTGTCTTTTAGAGAACGTTAGTAATGTCTGCCTTTATTATAGTGTTATTAATAGTAAACCGCTAGTACTACTTGTCCTAAAGGTCTAGAACAACGTTACTAAGATTAGCTACTAATTCTAAAAAGAACTACTAGTCTAATACTATTACTTTGTTATAGTAGCTTATAGCTAGTGCCTTTTTGTTAGTACCCTAAAGAGAAGAGAGTAAGGCCGGTTCTAAAGACACGTAGCTATAAAGCCTAGCCTACCTTTTAAGACTCTAGAGTTTTTATTAGTCTTTTAAGGTAGTAGTAAGAGTACTATACTAGCTCTTAGTCTTTATATCTTAGATCGTCTAGAGTTAGTAAGTACTAGCCTACTAGAGGTCGCGCTAGTAAAGTTTAGTTAGAGTAGTAGTATATTAACGTCGCGTTACCTACGTTTTTTAGACAGCCTTAAGGACCTTACTACTCTACTAGGGTTTAGCTTACCTTTAGCTAACCTTCTTTCTTAAGGTAGATAAGTCTATAATACGTATAAGCTAAGAGGTAAGTAAGTTAACTACCTTATCGACCTTATAAGGTATATCTAGCGGCTTAGAGAAGAGGTAAAGCCTCCTAGCCTTAATTACTACTAGCTCTTAGTCTATTAGGGTCTAGCTCTACTCTAGTACTTTTATAGCTCTCTTATAGTAATCCCTTACTTAAGTAATAACCTTAATTAGCTAGACGTAGTAGTTAGATCCCTTATACCTTAGGTTACTTTAGTAAGTATACTAGAGCGTTACTATAGCCTACGCGTAATTAATCGTTAAGTCTTGTTTACTATATCTCTTTTAGGTTAGCTCTTTCTAAGGTATATGTAGTAAGAGCTACTACTTATAGGCTAGACAAAAAAGGGTCTCTAATTTAAGGGTAGTCTTACTAGCTTTATCTTAGAGTAAGTAGTAAAGGTTTATATTACTTATAATAATCTACGGCCTCTTTAGGTCCTTCTTAGTAAGCTACTAGAGAAGGCTAGTCTAGCCTAAGGAGTTAGAAATTAGTAAGTATATTAACTAGACAGTAATACCTTATAAAGTAATGTAGTACTAGTCGATACTAGTTACTACTACTTAGGTAAGAGGTAAGTACTACTTGTAAACGTAGATAACTATACGGCCTTTACTCTTATAGACTTACTAGTACTTTACTTATACTAAGTAGTAGACTGTCTTTGTCTGTTTGTTATACTATAGCTCCTAGATTACTATAATAAAAGAAATAAACTTTATAACAGTCGCCTATACCCTTAACTGCCTTAAAAACTTAAAAACAAACGATAGAATTAAAATTAGTACCCTTAGATACCCTCTAAAGTACTAGTAGACTATAGGCAAGCCTATAGTAACAGATAGTAAGTATGCTAGACTTAAATAGAGCTAGTACTACCTACTTGTAAGAAGGAGCTAATACTCTTATTCCTTAACAAAAAGCTATAGTAAAGAGCTAGTAAGTAGTAAGAATAGTATAGATAATAAAACAAAGTTAATCTTACGATAAATTAAGGCTTACGTAATACTAGGTAAGGAAGAAGAGGCGTTACGCCTCTTTTACGACCTTATTACGACAATAATAGTAGTAGTAAAGCTAAAGGTAGTAAACATAAAGACCCTCTTATATACTCTTAAGACCCTTTCTAACGACGACCTAGTAACGATTAAGTAATTAAGAACGATGTTAAAGGAGGCCTTCTAGAGGCTAATAGTAACAGTAGTCCCTTAGGCTACGTACGCGTTAGTAGTAGGCTAGTGCCTAATAAGAGTATAAGTAATACTAGAGAGATAGATTAGAGAGCTAAGGATTAGAGTAGATAGATAGATAAAGGACCTAGTACGTTATAGTACTATTAAAGTAGTAATAGTAGCTAATATAGTAATTAGAGACACTAAGGTAGTAGCGACCTGCCGGCTTTCTAGTAGTGATACTATCTTTACCTTTAAAGAGGCTATACTAAAGACTACGATCTAAGATTAAGGCTAGGTATAAAAGGCGTTTAGGCCTATAGCCTAGCTCTATAAGAGTAAGTTTATAGTAATCGTAAAAGGCCTACTAGTAGACTAGGTTATATAAGTAGAATTAAGAGTACTACTAGTAGAGATCTAAGCCTATACGCTATATGTTATAAAGGTTAAAGTTAAGCTTGTTAAGGCCTTTATAGTAAAGTTTATAACAATAGTACTATACTTTTAGAGCGCTAACGTAGTAAAGCGCCTATATAAACAAAGGCTAATCTAGTAAGCCTAGATCTTTAACTATAAGCTATATTTAGCCGACCTACAAATCTAAAAATACTTCTAGTACTACTAGTTTAGTTATATTAGGCGGTTTTATAAGAACTAGGCCTAGTATAGCTACTATATAAGAGTAGTGTACTCTTAAGGTAAAGAGAAGTGTCCCTAACTTAATAGTAGAAAGAGATACATTAACTATAGTAGACTATACGTAGTATAAGACTATTAGTATCTTAAGGCCCTTAAGGTAAAAGAGTAGGTATATGCTATATATTAGTAAAGACCTAGACAGTTTAAGGTATTAAAGAGTAGCTTTACTAGCTAAGTACCTAGCGTTATACTAGCGTCCTTATAAGATAGTAACAATAGCTACTAGGTCGTAGTACCTAAGAGACTATAGACAAGTAATAATAAGAAGCCTATAGTAAAGACTCTAGTAAGGTATAAGCGCCCTCTTATTAAGGCGCTAGATATAGTAACAGTCTAGAGCTACGATATTATAGAGATATTAAGCTAGGGAACTAACTAAGGGTCTAGTAACCCTTTTATAACACAAGACTTATAGATCTTAGACTCTTAGTAATAAAATTAATAATAGTATACTAGAACACTATAAGAAGGAATAGCCTTACCTTAATAGTACTTTACAATAGCTATAAAGCTAACGTTATAATAATCTAGGAGCTATAGTATAATAAACAGACAAAGATAGTCTACTACCTAGTATAAGTAAAGTACTAGCGGGTTTATAAGGGTAAAGGCCGTATAGTTATCTATGTTTATAAGTAGTACCTACCTCTTACTTAGGTAGTAGCGACTAGTGTCGACTAGTGTTACGTTACTTTATAAGGTATTACTGTCTAGTTAATATACTTACTAATTCCTAACTTCCTAGGCTAGACTAGCCCTCTCTAACAGCTTACTAGAGAGGACCTAAAGAGGCTATAGATTATTATAAGCGACATAAACCTTTACTACTTACTCTAGGATAGAGCTAGTAAGACTATCCCTAAATTAGAGACCCTTCTTTGTCTAGCCTATAGGTAGTAGCTCTTATTACATATACCTTAAGAAGAGCTAACCTAAAAGAGACATAGTAAATAAGACTTAACGATTGATTACGCGTAGGCTATAACGATACTCTAGTATACTTACTAAGGTAACCTAAGGTATAAGGGATCTAACTACTACGCCTAGCTAATTAAGGTTATTACCTAAGTAAGAGATTACTATAAGAGAGCTATAAAGGCACTAGAGTAAAGCTAGACCCTAATAGACTAAGAGCTAGTAGTAATTAAGGCTAAGAGGCTTTACCTTTCCTTTAAGCTACTAGATATACCTTATAAGGTCGACAAGATAGTTAACTTACTTACCTCTTAGCTTGTACGTATTATAGACTTATCTACCCTAAGAAAGAAGGTTAGCTAAGGGCGTACTAAACCTTAGTAAAGTAGTAAGGTCCTTAAGGCCGTCTAGAAAACGTAGGTAGCGCGCTATTAATATACTACTACTCTAACTAAACTTTACTAGTACGACCTCTAGTAGGCTAGTACCTACTAACTCTAGACGATCTAAGATATAAAGACTAAGAGCTAGTATAGTACTTTTATTACTACCTTAAAAGACTAATAAAAACTCTAGAGTCTTAAAAGGTAGGCTAGGCTCTATAGCTACGTGCCCTTAAAACTAGCCTCGCTCTCTCTTCTTTAGGGTACTAATAAGAAGGTACTAACTATAAGCTACTATAATAAAGTAATAGTATTAGGCTAGTAGTTCTTTCTAGAATTAGTAGCTAATCTTAGTAACGTTATTCTAGACCTCTAGAACAAGTAGTACTAGTAGTTTACTATTAACGACACTATAATAAAGGTAGACATTACTAACGTTCTCTAAAAGACAAGTACCTAGAAAGCGCTAAGACCTAACCTACTACCTACTAGCTTCTTTAAGGTATATAGGCGCCCTTTAGCTAAGCTTCTTATAGTAGTAGTAACTATAAGCCTCTAGCTAGGGCACGTCTTAGCGTAGTTTAAAGTAGTAAAGGTAGTAGTACTATATAAGCCTAGAAAGACCCTTAAATAGTAACAAACCGCTAAGGCCTATAGGCTAATATTACTCTTAAGCGCGATAAGTAAAGTAATTAAGTTAGTAATTAGCTAGTGCTTTACTAACGCTATAAAGTCGTAAGGGCTCCTTTTAGAGATACAGATAAGAAACTAGCTATAACGCTTAATAGACCTTATAGTTAAAATAGTAGTTAACACTATATATATAGCGTAAAGCTATAAGGCTATAGTGTCTCTTCTCTAACTAGACATTAAAGGCGCCTTTAATATAGTAAACTATATACGCCTTCTCTATACTCTCTAATACCTAAGGTTCTTTATATAGGCTATATAGTAAGTATATAGCTTTCTCGCTAATTAGACGGCTAGCCTCTTCTTTAATAAGAAGGCGGCACTACCTTAAGAGGTTACTATAAGGGTGTTATAAGGCTCGCCCTTCTCTTTTATCCTCTTTCTTCTCTATACTACTAGCTTGTACATACTACTATAGAGACACATAGGCCTTATTATAGTAAGGTTTACTAACGACCTTAACCTTTTAGTATTTAGTAGAGACACGACTAAGACACGCTAGTACCTTAAAGGGGCGTAGTAGACTTATAGCTAGTAGGTATAAATAAAGAGAATAGAGTTTGCCTTTAAAAAGAGTAAGCTCCTTTACCTTACTTACGCCTATACTATACTAACGACGCCTGTCTACCTTAATAGCCGGGTTATACCCTTAGTCTAGGAGGCTTACTTTCTAGGAGTTTAGATAGATTAGAAGCTTAGGTAAAAGGGCTACCTTAACGCTATTAAACAAAAGTTTACTACCTAGTAGTTTGTACTTATAAGGCTTACTATATCTATATAAGGATATAGCCTACTATACGTAAGAGAGATCTATATAAAGGTAATCTAGAGCGCTATAGTATATAGTATAAAGGTCTAGTACTACCCCTTTAGGTAACAAGCTAAGGAGATCGTAAAAGACCTTACTATAAAGTAGTTATAGTACCTTTACGTTATTATAAAGGCGTACTAAGCGACTCTTGTTTAGTTTCTTAAGTCTAAAATAGCTACGCCTCTACTTAACCTTTACCTTAATAAGTAAGTAGTAGACTTTAAATAACGTCTTAAATGTATAGGTAAGGGCAAACTTATATAGTCTATCTATAATAAGGTAGCGACCTACTTTTAATAACGCTAGAGACGCTACTATAACGCTATTATAGCGCTACCTTATACGTTACTTAAGTATAAGGTAGGCCGAGCTATATAAGTAAAGGACTAGTATAAGGACTCTCTACTAGAAGAGACCTTATAAGAGAGGTAAAAGACATAATAGACTTAATACAACAGTTTACTAGTATACTACTAAGGTACTGTCCTAGCCGCGCTACCTGTCCTTTTAGTAGATGCCCTTAAGAAGTACTTACTCTTTTATAAGTATAAGAGCTTACTTTTAACGTAGATCTATACTAGTAAGGTTAGGCTCTAAGCCTTTCTTTTTAAACGTAAAGTACTAAAAGTAGCGACCTTCTAGTACCCTTATAGTAAGGCCCTAAAGACAGTAGCTTACCTAGTCCTTAACTACTAGTAGCTTAACTAATAGTAACAGGCCTTATAGTAAGTACTTTACCTAAGGGCGCTATAGACGTTCCGTAACTTTATAGTAGTAACAAAGAGAGGAAAGAGCGCGTGTATACTAATCCGCTAGCTACTATCTACTAGCTAGTTCTTATAGTTTAGGCTAGCTAAGCGCTACCTAGCTAAAGAAGAGAGAGAGTAATCTTAGTTAACGGCCGGCGTCCTTTTAGTACCTTACTAGCGTCTTATTAGTATGTTTAGTATTACTAGGCTAGAAGGTTAAGTTTTAGTAAGGTAGTAATAAGGTCTTAGCGCCTTAGTAGTACTATAATAGAGTATTTATAAGAAGTAGTATGTAGGTTTTTACCTGGCTTTAGTACGGTTTTACTACGTAATTTATATAGTATAAAGGTTCTGTATATATTAGGTATAAGTAGTAAGAACAATAATAATAATAATAGATTACTATAACGTTAGCTTTATAGCTATTATAAAGTACTATTAAGGTAAGGCTGTTCTTCCTTATAGTATTCTAGTATACTATTATTAATTTTATTACTAAGAGTCTAGGATCTATAAGTCTTACGTTATAAAAGAGTTACTAGACCCTTAGTTAGTTCTCTAGCTTAACATTTCTATAATGTTATAGCTCTAAACTATTACTATATCTAGCGCCCTAATAAGGAGGCGCCTATACCTTACTAGAGTCCTTACTATAGGCTTTTTATTATTACTTGTCTATAGTCTCTTAGGTACTATAACCTAGTAACTGTCGTTACTATCTTATAAGGACACTAGTATAACACTAAGTACTCGGTTAGTAAAGCTACTCTTTAATACCTTAAACTATCTAGGTCTTTACTAATATATAGTATATACTTGCTCTTTTACCTTAAGGGCCTTAAGACACTAATAGTCTTATACTATATATAGTCTACTATAGTTAATATATCTTTTCTTACTATTAAGTTAAGGGTACTCCTCTTTACCTTAAGGGTACGCTACTCTTATGTAGTAGCTATACTAGGCTTAGTTCTTATAGAACTACCTAATATAGCTAAACTAGTAGTACTAGAAGTATCTTTAGATTTATAGGTTAGCTAAATATAGCTTATAGTTAAAGATCTAGGCTTACTAGATTAGCCTTTGTTTATATAGGCACGTCGCTATAATAGTACTCTAGAGGTATAGTACTATTGTTATAAACTTTACTATAAAGGCCTTAATAGGCTTGACTTTAACCTTTATAACATGTAGCGCGTAGGCTTAGATCTCTACTAGTAACGCTCTTAATTCTACTTATATAACCTAGTCTACTAGTAGGCCTTTTACGATTACTATAAACTTACTCTTATAGAGCTAGGCTATAGGCCTAAATACTCTTTATACCTAGCCTTAATCCTAGATTATAGTCTTTAGTATAGCCTTCTTAAAGATAAGAATAGTATTATTACTAAAAAGCCAGTAGGTCGTTACTACCTTAGCGCCTCTAATTACTATATTAGCCGCTATTACTACTTTAATAGCGCTATAACGTACTAGGTCTTTTATCTGTCTATCTATTCTAATCCTTAGCTCTTTAATCTGTCTCTTTAGTATTACTTATACTCTTATTAGGCGCTAGCCTACTACTAACGCGTATATAGCCTAGAAGGCTACTACTACTATTAGCCTTTAGAAGGCCTCTTTTAATATCGTTCTTAATTACTTAATCGTTACTAGGTTGTTATTAGAGAGGGTCTTAAGGGTATATAAGAGGGTCTTTATATTTGCTACCTTTAGCTCTACTACTACTATTATCGTTATAATAAGGTTGTAAAAGAGGCGTAACGCCTTATCTTTCTTACCTAGTATTACGTAGGCCTTAATTCGTTATAAGATTAACTTTGTTTTATTGTCTATACTACTCTTACTACTTACTAGCTTCTTACTATAGCTTTTTATTAAGGAATAAGAGTATTAGCTCTTTCTTATAAGTAGGTAGTACTAGCTTTGTTTAAGTCTAGTACACCTACTATCTATTACTATAGAGGAACGGTCGTCCACGCCCTCTACTACCTTAAAAACTCGAAAATAAACGATAGAATCAAAATTAGTACCTTTAGATACCCTCTAGAGTACTAGCAGACTATAGGTAAGCCTATAGTAACGGATAGTAAGTATGCTAGACTTAAATAGAGCTAACACTACCTACTCGTAAGTAGGAGCTAGTACTCTTATACCCTAACTAAGAGCTGTAGTAAGAAGCTAGAGAGTAGTAAGGGTAATAAGGACGATAAGACAGAGAAAATCATATAAAGGATTAAAGCCTACGTAATACTAGATAAGGAGAAAGAGGCGTTACATCTCTTATACGACCTTATTACTATAATAACAACAGTAGTAAAGACAAGAGCTATAAACACGACGACCCTCTTACGTACTTCTAGGTCCTTCTTTAACAATAACCTAGTAACAATTAGATAACTAAGAACGATGTTAGAAGAGGCCTTCTAGAGGCTAGTAACGACGGCAGCCCTTTAGGCTACCTACACGTTAGTAGCGAGCTAGCGCCTAACAAGAGTCTAGGTTATACTAGAAAGGCGGATTAAGGAGCTAAGGATTAGGGCAGACAGACAGACAAAAGACCTAGTATGTTGTAGCGCTATTAAAGTAGTAACAGCGGCTAATATAGTAATAAGGGGCGCTAAGGTAGTAGCGACCTGCCGGCTACTTAGTAGCGACACTATCCTTACGTTTAAGAAGGCTATACTAAAGAACGTAATCTAAGATTAGGGCTAGGTATAGAAGGCGTTTAGGCCTATAGCCTAGCTTTATAAGAGTAAGTTCGCTATAATCGTAAAGGGCCTACTAGTAAAACAGATTATATAAGTAGAGCTAAGAGCGTTACTAGTAGAGATCTAAGCCTACGTACTATATATTATAAAGGTTAAAGTTAAACCTGTTAAGGCCCTTATAGTAAAGTTTGTAATAGTAGTACTATACCTCTAGAGCGCTAACGTAGTAACGTGCCTATACAAACAAGGGTTAATCTAGTAAGCCTAGATCTTTAACTATAAGCTGTATTTAGCTGACCTACAAATCTAAAGATACTTCTAGTACTACTAGTTTAGCTACATTAGGCGGTTCTATAAGAACCAGGCCTAGTATAGCTACTACGTAAGAGTAGCGTACTCTTAGGGTAAAGAAGAGTACCCTTAACTTAATAGTAAAAAGAGATACGTTAACTATAGTAGACTATACATAGTATAAGACTATTAGTGTCCTAAGGCCTTTAAGGTAAAGGAGTAGGCATATACTATATATTAACAAAGGCCTAGACAGTTTAAGGTATCTAAGAGTAGCTTTACTAGCCGGGTACCTAGCGTTACGCTAGTGTCCTTATAAGATAGCGACAATAGCTACTAGATCGTAGTATATAAGAGACTACAGACAGGTAATAGTAAGAAGCCTATAGTAAAGACTCTAGTAAGGTAAGGGCGCCCTCTTATTAGGGCACTAGACACTATAATAGTCTAGAGCTATAACATTATAGAGATATTAAGCTAAGGGGCTAACTAAGGGTCTAGCGACCCCTTTATAACGTAAGAATCATAGATCCTAGACTCTTAGTAATAAAATTAATAATAGTATACTAGAATACTATAAGAAAGAACGGCCTTACCTTAATAGTACTTTACGATAGCCGTAAAGTCGACGTTATAGTAATTTAGAAGCTATAGTATAATACTTAGACAAAGATAGTCTACTACTTAGTATAGGTAAAGTACTAGTAGGTCTATAAGGGTAAAGGTAGAGTAGCTATCTACGTCTATAAGTAGTACCTACTTCTTACCTAAGTAGTAAAGACAGGCGTTAACTAGTATTATGTTACTCTATAAGGAGTTACTATCTAGTTAATATACTTACTAATTCCTAACTCCTTAGGCTAGGCTAGTCCTCTCTAGTAGCTCGCTAGAGAGGACCTAGAGAGGCTATAGATCGTTATAAGTAACATAAACCTTTATTACCTACTCTAAGACAGAGCCGGCAGGACTACCCTTAAATTAGAGACCCTTTTCTATCTAGCCTGTAGGTAGTAGCTCTTACTACGTACACTCTAGAAAGAGCTAACATAGTAGTAACATAACAAACAAGACTTAACGATTAACTACGCGTAGGTTATAACGACGCTCTAGTATACTTATTAAGGTAACCTAAGGTATAAGGGATCTAACTACTATACCTAGCTAATTAAGGTTATTACTTAAGTAAGGGATTACTAGAAGAGAGCTGTAGAGGCACTAGGATAGAGCTAGACCCTAATAGACAGAGAACTAGTAACGATTAAGGCTAGGAGGCTCTACCTCTTCTTAGAGCCGCTAGACATACCTTATAAGGTTAATAAGGTAGTTAACTCGCTTACCTCTTAGCTTATACGTATTACAGATATATCTACCTTAAGAAAGAAGGTTAACTAAGGGCGTACTAAGCCCTAGTAGAATAGTAAGGTCCTTAAGGCCGTCTAGTAAGTACAGGTAGCGCGCTATTAATACGCTACCGCCCTAACTAAGCTCTACTAGCGCGACCTCTAGTAGGCTAGTACCTATTAACTCTATATAATATAAGACGTAAAAACTAGGAGCTAGTATAGCGCCCTTACTACTACCTTAAAGGACTAACAAAAACTATAAAGTCTTAAGAGGTAGGCTAGGCTTTATAGCTATATGCCCTTAGAACTAGCCTTACTCCTACCTCTTTAAGGCACTAATAAGAAGGCACTAGCTATAAGCTACTATAACAAAGTAATAGTATTAGGCCGACAGTTCTTTCTAGAATTAATAGCTAATCTTAGTAACGTCGTTCTAGACCTCTAAGACAAGTAGTACTAATAGTTTACTATTAACGACACTATAATAGAGGTAGATATTACTAACGTTCTCTAAAAGACAAGTACCTAAAAGGCGCTAGGCCCTGACCTACTACCTACTAGCTTCCTTAAGGTATATAGGCGCCCTTTAGCTAAGCTCCTTATAGTAATAGTAACTATAAGCCTCTAGCTAAGGCACTTCCTTATATAGTTTAAAGTAGTAAAGGTAGTAGTACTATATAAGCCCGGAAAGACCCTTAAGTAGTAACAAACCGCTAGGGCCTATAGGCTAATATTACTCTTAAACGCGATAAGTAAAGTAATTAAGTTAGTAATTAGCTAGTACTTTACTAAAGCTATAGAGTCGTAAGGGCTCTTCCTAGAAACACAGATAAAGAACTAGCTGTAGTACTTAATAGACCTTATAGTTAAAATAGTAGTTAACGCTATATATATAGCATAAAGCTATAAGGCTATAGCGTCCCTCTTTTAACTTAACATTAAAGGCGCCTTTAATATAGTAAACTACACACGCCTTCTCTATACTCTCTAGTACCTAAGGTTCCTTATATAGGCCGTATAGTAAGTACGTAGCTTTCTTACTAATTAGACAGCTAGTCTCTTCTTTAATAAAGAGGCGGCACTACCCTAGGAAGTTACTATAAGAGTACTATAAGGTTTACTCTTTTCTCTTATCTTCTTTCTCCTTTATACTACTAGCTTATATACGCTACTATAAGGTTATATAGGCCTTATTATAGTAAGGTTTACTAACGACCTTAACCTCTTAGCTTTTAGTAGAGACACGATAGAGACACGCTAGTACCTTAAAAGGGCGTAGTAGACATATAGCTAGTAGTCGCGTATAAAGGGGATAGAGTTTACCCTAGAAAAGAGTAAGCTCTTTTACCTTACTTATACTTACACTATACTAACGACGCCTGTCTACCTTAACAGCCGGGTTATACCCTTAGTCTAAGAGGCGCGCTTTCTAAGAGTTTAGTTAGACTAGAAGCTTAGATAAAAGGGCTACCTTAACGCTATTAAACAAAAGTTCGCTACTTAGTAGTTCGCGCTTATAAGGCTTACTACGTCTGTGTAAGGATATAGCCTACTATACGTAAGAGAGATCTATATAAAGGTAATCTAGAGTACTATAGTATATAGCGTAAGGGTCTAGTACTACCCCTCTAGGTAGTAAGCTAAGGAGATCGTAAAAGACCTTACTATAAAGTAGTTATAGTGCCTTTACGTTATTATAAAGGCGTACTAGGCGACGTCTGTCTAGTTCCTTAAGTCTAAAATAGCTACGCCCTTACTTAACCTCTACCTTAATAAGTAAGTAGTAGACTTTAAACAACGTCTTAAACGTATAAGTAAAGATAAACTTATATAGTCTATCTATAATAAAGTAGTGGCCTGTCTTTAATAACGCTAGAGACACTATTATAGCGTTACTATAGCGCTACCTTATACGTTACTTAAGTATAAGGTAGGCTAAGCCGTGTAGGTAAAGGACTAGTATAAGGACTCTCTTTTAGAAGAGACCTTATAAGGGAACTAGAAGGCACGATAGTCTTAACACGACAGCTTACTAGTACACTACTAGGGCGCCGCCCTAGCCGCGCTACCTGCCCCCTTAGTAGATACCCTTAAGAAGTACTTACTCTTTTATAAGTACAAGAGCTTTCTTTTAATATAGATCTGTACTAGTAAAGTTAGACTCTAGGCTTTCTTTTTTAAGTATAGAGTACTAGAGGTAGCGACCCTTTAGTGCCCTTATAGTAAGGCCCTAGAGACAGTAGCTTACTTAGTCCTTAACTACTAGTAGCTAGATTAATAGCGACAGGCCTTATAGTAAGCGCTCTACCTAAGGGTACTATAGACGTTCCGCGACTTTATAGTAGTAATAGAGAAAGGTAAGAGCGCTTATATACTAATCTGTTAGCTACTGTCTACTAGCTGATTCTTATAGTTCTGTCTAGCTAAGTACTACCTAGTAGAAGAGTTATAAGAGAGAGAGTAGCCCTAGCTAGTAGCTAGCGCCCTACTAGCGCCTTACTAGCGTCCTATTAGTATGTTTAGTATCACTAGGCTAGAAGGTTAAGTTCTAGTAAGGTAGTAATAAGGACCTGGCGCCCTAGTAGCGCCGTAATAGTGTAAATACAAGTAGTAGTACGTAGGTTTTTACCCGGCTTTAGTACGGTTTTACTACGTGATTTATGTAGTATAGAGGTTCCGCATGTAGTAGGCATAGGTAGTAAGAACAATAATAATAATAATATCTATTACTATAGGCTTGCCTATAGTCTACTAGTACTTTAGAGGGTATCTAAGGGTACTAATTTTAATTCTATTGTTTGTTTTTAAGTTTTTAAGGTAGTTAAAGGCGTAGGCGACTGTCGTAAAGTTTTTTTTAGGCAGCTATAGTAGCTAGGCTTAAAGTTACAATAGTTATAATAAACATCTAAAGGACATTTAACACGCTACTCTCTTAGTACCTAATTTCTTATATAACGTAATAAGGCTACCTTAGCTACTCTCTTTACTTTAGCTTGTTTATAGCTTTTTAATAGAATATAAAGTCCGGGTTAAACTAGAGAAGTCTATAATACTAGAGTACAAGGTCTTATATAGTACCTTATAAAGCTTCTTACTCTTACTAGTCCTTTATATACTCTACCTTATAAAGCTCTTTATATAAGACACTAAACTACGCTTTAAGTATATAGATAATATATGTCTTTACTATACTATAAGAACACTAGATAATAATGTACAGCTTCTTACTAGAGATATAGTAGATATCTTAGCTTAAGGCGCTATAAACAAGGTTTTCTTTATACTAGAAAAGCTTAAGATAATATACTTAACTAAGAAAGAAGATAACTATATAACTTAGTACGTAGTTAATAATAAGCTTACTATTACTCTAATTATAAAGGCGCCTAAAGATAAGGTATAGCTAGTACTTAAGTACTAGCTTAGCGTCTAGTTTAATAAGAAACTTACCTTTAAGAAACACGTCTTAAAAAAGGTAGCTAAAGTATAAAAAGTGTCTTATTATATTTATAGGCTTATAAGGACTATATATAGCCCTCTAGCTAGCTTACTCTAAAGGGCGGTTATTACGTATATCTTTTTCTTAATACTATACAATATAAAAGCCTAGTATAAGAGACGTACTAAAGTACTTTACTACTAGTAAGGTAATAAGAACTAGATAGTTAGTACATAAAATAGCTAGTACGTTAATATAGTAGATAAGACGATTATACTAGCTATATAAAGGGTCTTACTAGTTTAGAGGACTACTCTTAACGTTACCCTTTACTATAATACAGGCCTTTTATTAGTAATAGCTATACTTAAGGATATAAAGCTACGCTTTATACTATAGCTATAGACAATAGATTAAGAATACCTTCTTATATAACAGATTACACTTCTAATAATTACTTAAGAAAGAAGACAGGACATATAGTAAATTCTTAAGACTAAAGTCTAACGGCTAAAGACTATACTCCTAGCTATACTATAGCTAGTACTACGCCTACCTTACTTTATAAGAGGCTACTAATCTAATCTAACTAGTAGTACTACTAAAGAGGCTATATTAATAGCGTTTAAAGAGTAGTAAGTAGTACTCTTAACAAAAGATGTTATAATCTTCTTAAATAGCTTAGAATAATATAAGTATAAAATAAGGTATGTTAAGTATAAGTACGTAATATACTAAGGCCGCTAATAGATAGCTATAGGCTATAAGTCTATTAACCTACTCTTTTACGTCTTTAACACTAAGGCTATTAGCGCCTAGAAAGGACTATAATAAGCTATCTAAATACTACTAGACGTTAGTTAGCGTTAGATCTAGATATATATTAATAGTACCTTTATTATCTAGTATATCTAGGGCAACGCCTTAGTATTGTTATAATAAGTGTTTTATAACTACTAAGACATTATGTAAACCTACGACATTAGAGTCTACTAGGCCTTAAGGTATATAGGTATTAAAGAGAATAAAGTAGTAAACAGGCTAGCTAACATTAAGGCTTATATACCTAACTAGAACGTAGGCCTAGCGTCTAAACCTATAGTAAGTAGAATCTATATAGTATACTAATAGTATAAAGAGATAGTATAAGAGTCCTAGTAGACAAAGTATAGCTCTAAGCTGTCTTAGTAGTATAAGAAATAAGACCTTAACTATTAAGTTAGGCTGTAGCTAGAGCTAGAGCTTTTATAGGCTATACTATACTAA